CACGCACGGATTTGCATATATTGGGTGAGTCTGTTGTAGATACAATAGTGGGTCGGGAACCACCAGCAATGATTACCTAACCCACAACCCTAGGGAAGGATCATGGGTTTGTCACCCAGTATAAAGACCCAGCCAACTACATGATGTCAAGTCGAAACAATGAAAATAAGCAAAACTGCGTAAACAGGGCTCACAAGATCTTGCAGGGTCCGCGCCCGGTAGCTGCTTTCAACTGCAGGGATGCTGTGATCGTCATCCTGCGACTGCAGACTCACCAACAAACACAAAGGTCATATCGGCCCAAAGGTTCAAATCATAACTATCCATCGGAACATGAAACATTCGAAGTGTAAACCAAACTGGAAAACTGGACGATGTTGTCCACGAGACTGACAGAATGAATGTCCAGTGCTTATGGCTGTGTTATTCAGATGGCCCAATGCTGGCGACTTTATGAAGAACCAGAAAAGAATCCTTTTTAGGAGGCTAGCAACACAAACATGGAGTTGCTCCTAGACAAAAAAAACTTTAAAATGGCGCAAAAACGACCACATGCATGTAAATGTAAACATCCACTGTTCTCACCATGGTTGTTATGGCGACTTTAATGCTAAAGTTGGCTCAGAGAGAAATGGGAAGACCACACGGTCTGGGGGAACGGAATGGATGTGGAGATAGACTTGTAGACTTATGTAAGGAGATAAATCTGGTCAACACAAACACCTGGTTTAATGTACCCCAGAAGACGATATACACGGGTTAGTCCTGGTGATAGAGCCAGAAACCATATCGACTATGTAATGGCCAGTTCAAGATACCGGAACGCAGTCAAAAACTCAAGAGCGTATCCGGGTGCAGACGCAAATTCAGACCACAACCCAATCATATAATTTAGATTGTCCCTCAGAAAGTTGTAGAAAACAAAAATTGCCCTCATATTTGAACTCTGCACATTGCAAACCAACCAAGAGGTGTGATTTTTTTTTTTTTTTTTATCTACCAGAGGCTCTTAACAACGAGAGTGACCATCATTTCGGTTCCACCCAAAACTCTCAGTCGTAATCCCAAAAAGATGTTCTAAAGGATAAGAAATTGTATCAAAGCAGCAAACGTCTGCATTGTCCACGAGGCCGAGGATAGTGCACGTTGGGAAGAGTAAGTTCAAGAACTTTTTGACAGTGACTGAAATCCGGGAAAGCTGCAGGTCCTAACGGCGTATACATCGAAATGCTCAGGGCCTCAGGATAGAAAGATATTCTCATCTAAGACTTCCTTAATGATATCTATGAAACAGACAAATCAGTACCCGAAATACCAGACCCAATTTGGGTTTATGAAGGATAAAGGTACGAGGAACGTTATCTTCGTCATGAGAATGCTCGCCGTGAGAGCCATCCAACACCAGCAAAACATCTACCTGATTTTCATTGACTGTCCAAAGGATTTTGATGCGGTCCGGCACTTAGAATTGTTCAAAATCCTCATAAATATCCGGATGGATGACTAATTCAATTAGTCTAGCAAGATCAACTTGCAACAGTCTGCATATCTGATGGGGCACCTAACTGGTTCCGATCAAGTGAGGTGACACGGTTGTGTGATGTCACGTAACCTCTTCAATTCATACTGTTATCCTGCGGGAAATTGAAGATCATCAGGAGGGAATTGTTATCAATGGTTGCAAGATCAACAACCTTCGTTATACAGATAATGCAGTTCTCATGACAATATATGCAAATGACCTCCAAAAGCTTTTTGATGCTATTCTGGAAGCCAGCGAACGCCATGGCCTCCATGTCAACAGACAAGAAAACAAAATGCATGGTAATTTCGAAGTCACAGATCCCACCACTCTGTCCATGAAACGAAGTGAAGTAGAAATCCAGAACAGCAGGTCTCCTTCAATTATTTAGGAGCTCTCGCCACCTCAGATGCTCGTTGCAGGAAGGAAATCAAACTCGTTAAAACCTTTGTTTAATCAACTCTCCTGTATGTCTTGGACACTGACAACTGAAATTCGGCTAATATAGAGGGCGAAGACATGTGGTTTTACCGTAGGATGTTGAGAACTTACACCGACCGAGTGTCCAATGAGGAGATCCTCAGAAAAGCCGGACAGGGACGCGAGCTTCTAGAATTGATCCGAGTACGACAACTCAAATTTCTCGGACAGGCAATCTGTAAAGTTACATTAGAAGCTCGAGGTAGGCGGTTAATAACATTCCTCGACAATTTCAATATACAAACACTTCGATGCCTCTGGGACAAAGCTCGACAGCCAAGTAGTTCGTCAAACAAAAGAACAAAAGAAAAAGTGTCTTGCTTGCGCTCTTTCTCGATTTCGCTCGCTTTTTCTCTCCCTCTTTCCTCCCTTCCCTTCTCTTCCCTTCCATGCCTTCCCCTCCCTCCCCTCCCCTCCCTCTGACCCCTTTCAAGCGACCCATATGCCGGGCGTGTCACCTGTTGCCCCGAATTTGATGTGGGTTGTGCATGATTTACT